TAGTGACTCAATTACGTTTTGTCATAAATTGTGCACTGGCCCCGGGCGTTGTGGGCGAGCCGTCATAATCCAATCACCTGTCGTTGTTGTTAGGTAGTCCCTCCAACCGATCATGTTGCATAGGCCCCTCCCACTGTTGACCAATAGCTACCAATTTTCAGCTGCTGGTGAGGTAAGTGTGTGATCCCTCGTAACCCATAAGCCCCGCCCAGAACTCATTTCTCAAATCGTAAGTGAGATGAGTGGTCACTGTTTACCCAGTCTGTAACAAAGTAACAGAGGACGTCAACATGAACTTGTGACAGAAGCGTCGCTCATTCTCCGAGTGGTGACGACCCACGTGTTTGTTTTAACATTGCACTCGGCCGCCCTCGTCCGATACATTTCGTTTTGTCACCCTTGCGCAAAATCAGCAAAAAAAATAAAAATAACAAACAAAATACAAATCAACAACAACAACGCAGCTACTTTCGATTGGGACTTCAGATGGGAATAGTTTGTTTTCTTCATCTTGATCAGTCCTGCCTAAGACGGCCACCTTTCTCCTTGACAATGGGTGGCCGTCTTACACAGGTTTGACTGTATATGATTCTGAGACAATTTCAACTGTAGGCAGGCCTGCTCCATGCAGACAATTTATCATAAACCGTGGTTACTGCAACTGAGAAAGTGAATTCATTAGAAAAAAGTAAACTGAATACACTAGTGGGGGTTGTAAAAAAAATTGAACGACATCACAAAACTTTAAAAAGTAAATGGAGGAGGAATTGTCCAAGATGGTGAATTATATGGGAGGCATTGGGGTGAAATCAGGCACACTTCAAATTAATGAATGAAATTAATTAAACCTGCACTTTTTGCTTATTTGGCAATTTTTATAGACTTGGTTTTTTTTTAGCTAACAGCCTTTAAGTCCATTCACAATACATTTTATTACATGTAGATTTTACTGAAAAACAATTAAAGGCACAAAAATTGTTGGAAGTCACCCAACTTTGGCAGCTACTTTCTCGTTAATTTTAACCTGTTAACCAGGCGACCCCTACCTTCTTCAATCGAAAATACATCGACTTCTATACAAGATAATCGAAGAGCGCCTGATTCCACCATGTTGTGACACATACTTTCTAAATATGCATTGGAGCAGTGGGAGGGAAGTGGTCATTTGTACAGGTGGCCGTTGGAGAAGATTCAACTGTACATGAGATGAGTATTCAACGCTAATAACGGCTTGCTCTATTACCACATATTTTTCTAGGCAAAATAACCAGTATTTAAAAAAAAAAACAACCAAAAAAAAACTCCACACAAAGGCACAAAAAAAAAGAAGTAAGCTACAAGGACAAAGCATCCCAAAATATTGCTCACATAAAATAAAGCATAAATAAAAACAAACCCAGTAAGAAGTGAAAAAATATATAAAAAATTCAAAAGGACAAATTTCAAAACACCCAATTCGGAGACCAGCCCTAGGCTTGAAATTGATGTTTTAAAAAATTAGCAACAAATTCCAGATCCATTCAAATGATTTACCAAACAAAGAGGAAAAAGACACTTGTTTTGAACACATCCTCAGATCAGTCGAAAAAGGGCTGGTCAGATCCTGTCTTAATCGTACCACTTCGAAAATTCAGTTGTAGATCTATTTATCCTACCCTATCACAGATGGACATTAACTTTTGAGATCTTAGCTTCTGGTTCTTCCAACATTCCTGACTGAAGGCGATATCTAAAACAAAAAGAAACTGCAAAATTCATGAATGTTGAAGTACGAAATTCGGGAGAAATGAAAGGTAACTCTCCAGACTGTGAAGGGAAAGTTAAAACTGTCTCTTCTTCCTGTTCTGTAGTACAAGGAATCGCCCACATAAACAAACAACTTTAACCCGCCAGACATATATAATAACGATCTGTAACATTACAAAAAATTGTGGTAAGAAACATATCTTATTTCAGTATGCTTAGCACAGTAAAAGAACAACTAGATCTAGAGCCCTTTCAATTTCTACACTACAATAAAACAATTGCACATCTTGTATTTAAACGAAATTAAACATGGAAGAGTATCAGCATCAACATCATTTCATGGAGCAAAAAAGTTCACATTTGAGACTCTAATACAACGGACGTAATTTGTAATGCTTACCCTAACATACCCTTGCTCGTCTCCGACGAGCAGGCATGAAAGTATTTTCTTGTCGTACATTTATGTCTGAAAATTATGCACCAATAGTTCAATAGTACAAAGAATGATTCTGTGCAGTTACAATTACAATATAAACATCAGTCTTTTTAAAATGCTAACTTGAACCTTACTGCGTCAATAGTCTTTCTCCTCTTTGAAGCTTGTCTCTCTATCTCTTGATCACTTTCATTTTCAACAGATCTGGATCTTAGAGCTTGCCTCTGCCTGTAAAAAAGAAGCAGATCTACTATAAAAATGTGAATAAAAAGAATGCAAATCAAGGTAAAAAAAAATACCAGAGGCAAACTGCTACTTGAGTTTATAAAGTAAAGGACTTCTAGGTTGAAACAACAAAGAATTTTTTTCCCTGGTATTGGGTGCATGGCATTTTAACATATTTTATAAGGGTAATCCTCAAGTGGCAGCGTTGTTGCACATGGTTACATTAAACCATGGGGAAAAAAGATTAGCAAAAAAAAACAGAGGCAGAGCCAATGGAGAAAAATATTTTAGCAGACATACACCCCCCCCAACAATTTTAACATTGCTTAAAACAACATTAAAAGGCAACTTTAGAGATTTATTTTAAAAATTCAGGTTTTTAAAACTCATGCACCCATGTCATATAGGTACATGTTTTATATACTTTTTTTTCTAGATCTAGCAGTATTTTGCATGCTGAACACGATACAATGGCCTTCATTTTTCATGCAAATCAATAGTTATTGAGCAATTGATGTTTGAAAATAGAACTATTTACAGTAGGACCAGCGGCATAGTAATATTTGACTTGTTTTTAGCAACATGCATGGTGGGTGAGGTTCAGGGCAGATATAATGCCCCCTGCATTTCGCAATGATTTGATGTTTTGGCAATAAGAATGGATATTTACTTGAAAACATTGATTTGTAAGGGTTTTAGCGGCCTACGTGTTCTGCAGCAAAAATCATGTCAGTTTAGCCCTCAAATCAGTGCATCTGTAAGTGGGTGCATTAGCTCTTAAAAATTTACCATCAGGTCCAATATTACTATTTTCAAACATCAACAACTCAATAACTATTGATTTGCGGCAAAAATGAAGGCCATATAGCTTCGTGCTCAGCATGCATACTAGGTCTAGATCCTACTAGAAAAAAAAAGTATATTAACATGTACATGAGACGGGTGCATGAGTAAAAAAAAACCTACACTAACGTCATGAAAGTGCAGATATTTTAGAGGTGTTACAAGAATAAACAAAAACAAAGGAGAACACATCAGGACGACAGATGTTTGATAGGACTTGAAAGAAAGAGAGCAAACCACAACAGGAGGCTCCAGAGCACCCACTAACCACCCTCATACACCGAACCTCTCATAAATTATTCAAGGAGCACCTATACAAATAAGAGCCAACAATTATAACACAAATACACCATGCCATGTCAACACTATTATTTTTCTACGGTCTTTCATGATGGATTGAGTCACCTGAGTTAAAAATACCACAGGTGGGATCGTCAATCTGTAGGAGAGAGGTGTTTTGACTTTGCTTTATGGATTCACATACCCTATCCCCCAAAATATTAAGTTGGGGCCACTGCATGAGGATTAGGCTACAATCAAAGGATAGGGTAGGAAATAAGACTTGTCCAGACACCAGATGGAAAAAGCACATTTTACATAGTCATGTTGTTTTAAAGTGACATGATGATGATGTGAGGAGTGCCACAAGAAGGCCATTACATTTGGAAACTCACCATCCTCCAGAAAACTATCTCACACAAACAGGACATCACATCTTCATTTGAGACATTTGTCTAGACATTGTAAATTGTATAATAAATTAGGCCTATCTATGTGTGCAGGTGTATTTTTGCCTTCTGCTGTCATAGAATCATTGTAGACAGACATCCATCAACCTTGTGCCTATTTAGGCCTTTGAATCTAGGCCTAGATCTAGATCTACCTTTAGATCTAGACAGAAGATTCACTACTTCACCAACACTATTTTAACAAAGACCCAGGCATATTTACAAAGAAGTTGTTTAATAAAGGGGTACTGAACTTTGGGGTTTCAAGAGACTGGTGTGAAAAGGAAATAAGCCACATTTTGTCTGGGTCTTGCCCGACCCCTACTGGACGAGACAATGCACTTGGAGTTGGAGCCTGGTGCAGACAAACGCCAGGACATCACAAAGTCATCAAAAATCGCGAAAGTACAAAATGGTTACCCTTTTCTTGACATCTTTTGCCGGCGAACTGAGCACTGCCCCGTGGCCAGTCGTCTGTTGAAGCTTACACTTTGATAAACTGAAATGTAAAGAAAACAGCTGATCTCAAAGATGGATTTCATTCATTCCTCGATACACGTCATGTTGCCGGCAATTTTTTTTGCATCGTGAAAAATTGCAATGTGGCTCCATACATTTTACTGTGACAGCTTTAAAGGAACATTTTAAACACCATTATTTTCAGAATTTTGTCCAGAAAGAAATCTAGACCCTCCAACACGTCTAAATCGACAAGAAGTAACGGTCTTTCTTTACGTCTGGTGCATTGGCTCTGCCGACACAAGCTGTTTCCCCATTTCCGACTCCATAGATTTGCTTCGTAAGCTAAAGCCAAATTGAGCACAGCTGTAAAATGACAACCAAAATGGTGTACAATGTTTCATACCAATATTCCCTGGAATAAAACGAGAATCAGTTGACACAAATCATTTTGAGACTTCTCCTTCCATCCTTAGCTCATGCACTGCTCCCCGCCGAACCACATCAGAAATGCGCCACCCTCCACAAAGCGCTGCGTCCCGCCAAATTGAGGTCATAACGTAATGCATTCTACCGTATCATACGGTTTCGTTAGTGAGCACAAAAACTTTCATAAAGCACACAGAAAATGAAAGAAAACACTCAGAATTTTGATGGAAAACGTTGAAAATTTATTGAAATTGAAAATTTGTCTTTTCAATCATATTTTCTTTGCCTTTGTTATGAACTCTCATACAGTCAACTCGCGGGAAAATAACGTTCCGATTTCTATCGAACTGAAGGGGCGCGAAAAAACGAAATATGAAACAAAATAAGCCCAAAGACCATACACAAAGGGGTTACCAATACTTTCATGATTTTCCATGTATTATTTGGTGCTGTAAGAGTGTTAAATCACAAGGAATCATTAATAGTAGCACAAGTTGCTTGCACGTGTGGCCTTGCAACATGTAAACAATCGAGCTCTTGGAGTTTTGATTAGCGCTTGTTCAACCAGCTTCATGAAAAACCCAATAAAGTTGCACATCAAAATAAAGCTTATTTCATGAACTACAAAAACAAATGCTAATTTTTATTAAGCGGTAAAGATTATAACAAATAAATTCTCAAAACGGTGAAATCTGTTATGCTTTCCACAAATCTATTTTTGTCACAACGGTGTGTTCGCGCATGTTCAGCGCAGAGCGTGTAGCGATTGGTCGAATAGGACACGCCCCCTTGTTTACATCGACGACTATGGCTGCCACCATGTTTGAAAGATTTTGGACATTATTTAAGCACAAAACTGGAAATGTGATTGGCATGATCCATGTTCATGCTACCCCAGGTACTGCATTCAAAGCAGTTGTTATCAGTCTTAGAGCAGAATTATATTCAGTTTTCTTGGACTGCCTGACCTTGCGATTTTTCATTTTTGTCGAACTGAAACTGAATTGATTGTCATTGTCCACATTCACATTGTCACATGACATTCATGGTTCCAAATAAGATCAGCTAGTCTAGATCTAATCTAGATTCTAGATCTAGATCTAGAATCTTGATTCTAGTTCTGCGTGATGTGGATCTAGATCTAGAATCTTGATTCTAGTTCTGCGTGATGTGGAAATTAGAGATATAGAGTTCACATCTGAATGACAGCATATTGTGTGGGTTGTAGTGTAGTTCATCCAAGCAGTTTGAATTAGGCTAGCGTTGTTGGTTTTTTTGTGGCAAGCGCTAGAGGCTAGAGTCTAAATATCTAGATCTAGATATATCTAGATCTAGAATCTAGATCTAGATCTATATTTGCAGCGCTGCGTTCTGAGTGAATAGCTCCCGTGCTATTTGAAAGTCCTAGATTCTAGATCTAGATCTAGATGATCTAAATGTAGTAGCCATCTTTTCTACATGATAATATTGTAGTTCTGCCTGAATTGTGGAAGCTTTCTCAGTTTTTTGTTTAAGGCCACCTCTATTCTCACCCGGAGTGAGAATAGTGCAGGCGATTCTTGTGGCTATTCTCACCCGCTGCGCGTTCACCAAATTTTGCGTTCACCCTAAACCACAGAATTCTACACTGTGATAACAGAAAATTTGTAGAATTCTGTGCCGTGAACAAACGTTCCATTACAACTGTAGCCTACTAAAAGCGTACAATTTTGTCTGTGGGCAGTGGAGAGAGAGAGAGAAAGAGAGAGAGGAGTAGCGCGAGAATTTCCGGGCAAAACAAAATGGCGACCCGCGTAGTTCGGCTCGATTCGAAAAGTTAAATAGCCGTAGCATCTTTGTAGACAACCAAATTAATTTACTTTTGTGTTTTAACATCATTTTTTAACTTTGTTTTGGTCAATTTGATCGTCCACAACGATAAACAGTATTCAGAAAAAGACAGAGAGAAGAGGGGAGGAGTTGATCTTGCGAGAACTTCCGGGCGGGTGAGAATAGCCACTTTCTTTGTTTAAACCTCCCAGGATTTGACTCCTTTTTTATGACGTTATGACGTTGTCTTATTCCGATCCATATTGGGTAGATCTAGATCTAGATTCTAGATTCTAGATCTAGATTCTAAATCTAGATTCTAGATCTAGATCTAGATTAGATCTAACAATTGTTTCTGACATTGTTTGCACAAAAGTAGACGTCTTGTTCATCTCTCACAATCAAATCATAATCATCTGAGTTAGAGTTTGAGCAAGTTTAAGTCGAAAGACGCTTGGATAATAATATACAAGACGGTGCAACTCAAACTTTAAGTTAGGCCTAGAGAACGTAAACAATCTGTCTACTGTCTACGTTCTGTAAGTCAAATGTTCAGTGGCATCGAATCCCGGTCCCGAAAGGGTTTGGTTTTTTTTCCTTCTCCTGAGCCTAAAATTTAAAAAAATATGTAAAAAATTAAACTCTCAGACCAAGGAAAGCCGGCGCTTTTTCGGTAGTTCCCACCCCGCAATTGTTATTCACAGGTTTTGGCCCCAAGAGTAGGGGGGTTTCAGGGGGGCCCCTGACAAAAAAAACACAATTTAATGTTTTGCTATTGTCAGGTTTGATATCTTAGCTCATCGCGAATCAAAAGTATAGATCTAGATCTAGATGTAGGTCAGGCTCAAATAAGGGGGATGGGAACTACCAAAAAAGCACAAAGCCACTACTGAACTTTAACCAGGCCTAAATTGGTAAAAAGAAAAGTATAGGCTATACTAAGCAGAGCTGTTAAAGTACTTTTAAAAAGGTACTTAAGTACAAATTTAAGTACAATCTAAATTATGTACCTAAGTACAGTAAAAGTACTTTCCTGTAAAATGTACTTGAGTACAAGTACTTTTTTAAAAAGTACTTATGAGTACATTTTGAGTACTTTCTGCTAATATGCTAAAACACTTCAGTGCTAATGCAAAACATCATATCGAATAACATATCTAGATTAGTATATTTGACAAATTCGGCCATTTATTACTAAATGTAAACAGTATACAAAGCATTTGAATATATGCACTGAACGTAGGTGGAAATGGTCGGTGAAATTGAAAAAAAAACCCAGCAAACAAACAGACGCAACTAGTGAGTAAGTGATATTATCATGAATAGAATTTGTTTGAGCAAGACATGATCAAATGTAAGTCAGTCCTAGAGGTCAGAAAGCAGGAAAAGTATCCAAATTGGAAAATGTAGAGACAAAGTTGCTCTAAGAAAATATAAAATTGATGAAAATGGCCAGCAAAAAAAGTGCATTGAATTCTTCATTAACAAATCCTCAAGGAATCAAGGTAGCCTTAAGCACAAACCACAAAAAAAGGAAAAAAGAAATTTAGGTAGCCTAAAAAATTGTTAGATTGATATACATTGAGAATTCAGTTTCAATTGATTATAATAGTGGTAAGACAGAGTTTGGAAACACTGTAGTCCACGGCACGCACGGCAAACCAAAATAGGCCTACATGTAATTTCCTAGAGTCTAGTAGTGTAGTGTAACAAAAAATTCTCTACTACAGTAGTCTCCGCCTAAGATCCGCAAAGGAAATACGGGATCTTAGCCGACGAAGCCAAGGAAGAATCTACAGTGACCCATGAACTGACGTGACCCCTGGGTAGGTTCATGACATATGGCGAGCAAAGAGTGGGCGGGATCCCAGGCGGGATCACATCGAACCATGAACTCTTCCTTGACCATTGCAGCAGCTGTCTCTACTCCCGAATTTGCGAGACGGACTGAATTATAATTTGTGTGTTCACAACGTAATGGTGTGTAACGACAAAGGCGGATTGGGGGGGGGCTTTGTCAGAGATGGAAAGCTATAAATTTTCGACAGGTAAAGGGGAGGGGCAACTGGATAAGCGTAGATCTTGAGACTCATGATAGGATAAGTCAAAATGGCACGCCTCATCCCACTATGCACCGTAATAGGTCATCAAGGTTAACCATTCTTTGCTCGCCATATGCCATAAACCCACCAAGCGGGCACGTCAGTTCATTGTGGAGTGGAGGGAGACCATTTTACCGATTGTGAGCCTTAACATGGGTCACCATAGATAGATTCTTCCCTGAGTTCGTCGGTTAAGATCCCGGTTCGCCTAAGATCCCGCATTTCCTTGCTCCCGAGCACCGGGATGTTAGGCGGAGACTACTGTACTATTTTTTAAAAGAAAAATACTGATTAAAATACATACCCATACACAAATGATAAAAGTCAAAATATCAGAATGTAAGCAAGGTCTAATACATCCTAAGTTGGGTTAGAATTAAAAATACATCCTAAAACAACTGTAAATTACATGGAATAAGGTTTCGTTCCTAACCATATAAATGACACACTGTCACGTTCATAACATGATGACAATCCATTACGACAAGCATATTTTTGCCTCTTCTTCGCTTCTCTTTTGAGTCATCAGCACCCTACTCTTCCATGTTTATGCCACCATGTAAGAGGATGTTGTGAAACAGTGGCAAGTCCCTCACATGATATTTTGCAGAAATATCATAGTGTTTGTTCATTACATCAATGACAAACCTGGATTATCTCAATCAAGGTCATATTCAAGCAAAACCATGCGATGGAGCGGAAAATTGCCCTTCTGAATGTTCAATGTCAAACCAATGTTTAATACCGGTCGTTCCCGGGGATGATATATTAACGATTTGGGTTTTCTAGACCTTGGAAAGTCTGATGATGTAATTATGACTCGAGTTATGAATATATAAATTTTACTCAGCAAAAACATCAGTAATATAAAAAAATAAAACCCTTTTAATGGACACACGGTGTTATGATTGTGTATACTAAATATTTTCAATGTTTGAATGCACTACTGTTTGATAGTTTAAGATTAACAATATTCTGTATTTAACATACAATTACGTGTGCACTCAGGATGAGTAAAAATGCCCTATTTTTAGTACTATTGTCTTTCTATGAAGAGATATAAGATGCACACATCAATCTACTTGTTCATGCAGCTTGACCAACTTATTTTCCTGCCATATGCATAAAGTTTTCAGTAGAAAACATATTTTTCCATGAGTAGTGGTTGATTTAAAAAGTCCTCATGCAAACACCCCCACCTTTTGGTAAAGGCTCTAGTAGAGTCAGATACAGCATTATATTAGCTCAGTCAGCTCAATCACTGGGCTTCCTGTAGCATGTTTCGGTTTATTATCTCTAGGGCAAGGCAGATAGGAAATATAAAGCTTTAAAGTCGACGTACCTATTTTCATCCTAATTTTGACCGAACCAGTAATTTTACTCTAGATCTTAGGGGTAGTTGACTGCTTGTTCTTCTACCTGCTGTGCAACTGATTTTTTTGGTGTGTTTTTCCTACTTCATAGGGCCCATGCCTTCAGGCTGCCACATTCCGATTTCCAAGGTACCCTTATATGTTTTTTGAACTTGTCTTTTATTGATTTTAGGACCACCCAGAGATCTTTAATGTGTACAACTTGCACAGGGGACCTCTGAAATTTTTCTCCTTTATCCAAGAAGGGTAGGTTTTCCATTTTACTTACCCTAAGATCAGGGGTGGGGCTGAAAGACAGCTATTGTAGGAGTTACGTCTCAGAAAAAAAAGAGTCAGGAGTTGAAAAAAAAAGGAGCCCATTACATAGGAGGGTAGAAAGTAGAGATGAAAGCAGATAGCAGAACATGCTAGCTAAGCCAACAGGAAAGGAGGTGAAAGAAGGAAATTATAGGGCAGAATTTTTTTCACTGTTGTCAGGTTTCGATCCGGGAACGTATTGAATGAGAGGTGAACGCCATATACTTCTAGACCAGGAGAACCCTATTTGAAGTCTCTCTTCTTAAGGAAGGTGCCCACTAGCGCAATTGGGTCGGGTCGGTTTGATAGTCGGGGCTAGCCAAATTGAGCTCACAAAGCGGCCACCCGGGCGCAAACCGATCGACTCGTTCGATGACCTGCAAAAACAATTTAAGCGTTTGTTTTCGGGCCTGCTAATCGCGTGATCGGGTGGTCTTGTTCGGTAGCCAATACCAACAAGGGTGAGGCATGTGTCAATGTTGGCACTCAAAATCCGGTGGCGCCCTCTTGGAAAAAGTGCAGACTTTGCAAACAGAGTTTCCCTACTTGTGTGAAAAACAATTAAAGCGAAACTAACAAACTGTGCTATTCCTATTCTTCTTCTGAAGAAATGAAAGAGAGCTTCAAAACAAAGGCTACAGCACAATCTGAACCAATGCGCGTACTCTTGCGGACACTTCTCTCTCTCTCTCTCTCTCTCTCTCTCTCTCTCTCTCTCTCTCTCTCTCTCTCTCTCTCCCTCCCTCCCTCCCTCCCTCCCACAAACTTTCAAAGTGATGCACATAAATCATAAACCTGCTCCTGGTATATGTTGTTGTTTTGCCGATTCAACCTCTTTTCAATGTACTGATTCATCCATTTGTGAAACTCAAGCACCAGTAAAATGCAGTCGAACCTGCTTTAATGGAAACCTGTATAAAACGGAAACCTGTCTTAACGGAATCTCCCCGCTCCCCCCTTGATATATTCCTCTTTAATTACCTGTGTAAAAAGGAAACCTGTCCAACGCGGAAAGGAAAGAAAAATCCGCTCCCTTCCGAGGATTTCACCTGTCTAAGACGGAAAATGTTTTGCCCGTTCAGCCCTGATTTGAAACAAAACTGGCAAATTTGGTTCCGTAGGCTCTGAACAACGCCATGGCCGTCACGCTGAGCGAGGAAGGGGAGTAGGGGTGTAATTTGGGGGTAGATATTGTCTCTTCATGTGAGCCGTGAGCGATGCAGCCCACAACTGCCCGTGAGAGTGCTCGAGTAGCAAGCCACTACAGAAGCTTTCCTGCATAGCCAGAAGCCAGAGGTGTTGAATTATATTGATCAATGCCTGCCACCTTGATCGTACGGCCAGCCGAGAAAAGTGTTCCTTGTATCGTTGTTACATGATGACGGTGAGAGGTGGCATTGGTTGACTGTGCTTGTTACACCGATGGATGGGGCTAAGAGTTGAAGCAAAGTAGATGCTCAAATGGTTCTGTTTTTAAGAGGTCAATCAGTGGTCCTATGAAAGGCAAGCACTGGGGGTGATTGGATTTATATGTAAGACTGACGCTTGTCATTATCAGACAGGATAGCAATTGAGAGGTGTGAAGTTTTGACCACTGCTTGCCAACCGGATAAGCGATTCTTGATCCAGCTGGCTGGGTCTTTGAACCCCCCGTCTCCCCTCCATCTCCCCCTAAATTACCCTGTCTAAGACGGAATTTTTTTTTTGGCTCCCTTGCGATTCAGTCTTCCACAGGTTCAACTGTACTGGTAAAATGCCTCACTATGCTTTTTTCTTTCAAAATAAAATAACGTAACTGCATACGTAAACTCTCTCTCTCACTCTCTCTCTCTTTCTCCCTCTTTCTTTCTATTCTCTCTCTCTCTCTCTCTCTCTCTCTCTCTCTC